ACAATGTTGCTTGATTAAATAGGTCAAATCCAATTAAATAATTAATGTCGAGTCAGTCAATGCAGGACTCCCTCCCTCATTTGGATGCCATGTAATTTATAGGTGTAACAATAGTCTCCTAAGTTTAAGTTGTACATTCATATGCGGGTTGGACTTTGAAATACAAGTTTTCAAGTAGACGGGGTCTTATTGATTGCCTCAAAAATATGAGCAGCTCCAATAAGTGAGGGCTTATGAACTACTTTGAAATTATGCATCGATTTCGAATAGGTGAAGAATTATGAATTGCCTCTAGAATATAAGTCGCTCTAACATATGATGACTAACGAACTGCTTCAAAATATTTGTGAGAGCCAGAATGAGCAAGGGCTTACAGAATGCCTCAAAAGGTAGAGATGTCATATAATTTATCAAAATTTCGACAATATCTCCTCTATAATATGGATTAAACCAACTTGTAAATAACATAATATCTCCACTACAAATATACAAAATAAATTGCGGTCCACTTGCCCCTCCAAATAAGGTAAAATGATGATCAATCAAACTTTCTAGTGTGAAGCAAGTAATATGATGTCTATAATAAATGATAATACAGATAACATGGCATACGTACTGGCAATAATCAAAATAGTGTTATGATATGTTAACGGTGATGTGGCATGCGTACTCTGCAGTGGTAATATAATGCGTAAGTGAGCAATAATATGTAATGTTATTAGGATACTAGTATCACATTATTCCTCAAAGTCTAAGTATGAATATTCATATAATTTATGAACTTTTTAGGTAGAGATGAGGCTCAAAATATAAACAACTAAATTGATATTGATGCAGAGGCAGACTCTAAATATATAAGTAGCTGTGATAATCTGATGCAGAGGCGATATTCTGAATGTAAGCAGTCGTGATAAGCTGATGCTGATGCTGATGCTGATGTGATTATATGAATTTAAGCAGCCGTGATAAGCTAATGCAGAGACGATGCTTTGAATGTAAATAGCAGATACGATACTCTAGATGTAAGCAATGATGAAAAGCTAATGCAGAGACGATGCTCAAGATGTACGCAGTTGTGATAAGCTAATATAAAGAAGATGCTCTGAATGTTTAAATAGAGCATGGATGATGCTATGATTGTAAGTAACAGAGGTGATTCTCTGGATGTATAAGCAACTGTGATAAGCTAATACAGAGATGATATTCTAGATGTAAGTAGCTGTGATAAGCTGATGTAGAGGCATGATGAGCTTTCTGTTGAGTCCTTCATCGCTAGGTATCTCAAGGATCGAATAATAAACATCTCGCTGGTGGCTCATCTCGAACTATTAGAGACTTATAAGCTGGCCTCGAGTGGACGAAATCTTATACCTAGGCTAGACGATAGTGAGAGGTGAAGAATAAACATCTTGCAAAGCCAAGAATAAATATTTAGCAAGGTGGAGAATAAAAATCCTGTGAGACGAGGAGTACATCTTACGAATAGCTCTCGACCTATCAGAGACTTATAAGTGGTATTAGATAGATGAAGTATTGCAGTTAAGATCGACGATAGTGAGAGGCAAGAAATAAGCATGTCGTAAAGTCAGGAATAAACATCTTGTGTGGCGAGGAATTTACATATCTCGAATAGCTCTCGAACTATTGGGGATTATAAGCGGTCTTGAATAGACAATGTTTTACAACTAGGCTTGATGAAGGTGATAGGCGAGGAATAATGATCTCACGAAGCTAAAGAATCTATATGGTGAAGTCGAGCATAAACATCCCGCATGATGAAGCATCTTGAAGAACAATTATAAACATCTCGTAGATGGTTCGCTCGATGAGTGAGGAATAAACATCAACTTATCATGGTTGCTCACATCCAGAGCATCCTCTCTGTATCAGCTTATTACAGCTGCTTACAATCAGAACATCGTCTCTATATCAGCTTATCATAGTTACATTTATTCAAAGCATCATCTCTGCCTCAGCTTATTACACTACTTATACATCCAAAGCATCATCTCTGCTATTTATATTCAGAGCATCGCCTCTGCTATTTATACATTTAGATCATCACCTCGATATCTAGAGCATTGCCTCTACTACTTACATTCAGAGCATCGCTTCTACTACTTACATTCAGAGCATCGCCTCTACATCTATTTATATATTCAGAGTTTATCTCAACATGATAGTACAACTATTTATATTCAGTTCAAAGTCAAACTCTGCATCAGTATTGTCTTTACATAAGCTTATGACAAATTGCTTACATCCAGAGTATCATCTCGGTATTAGCTTATCATAACCACTTATATTTAGAGTCTCACCTCTACATTAGTTTTTTTATAGCTACTTACATTTAAAGTCTCGCTCTTCATCAATTTTATAGCAGCTGATTTTATTTAGAGTATCGGATCTGTATCATCTTATCATAACTATTTATATTCATAGTCTTACCTTGGAATCAGCTTTATCACAATTGCTTATATTTTGAGCCTTGCCTCTACCTAAAAAGTCCACGCATTATATGAATAACCATATATGTACTTTGGGAACTACTGAGCTAACGCTATTTTTCTTCGCAAAAAACACAAAGCCGGAATCTATACTTTAACTTAAAAGACCATGCATTATATGAATAGCCGCACATGGATTTCGAGGACTTTTGTTATGCCTCTAGGACAAGGCTTCAGAAATCTTACACAGCAAGCAAACCAAGGCCCCATACTCCACGTCATTCTGCTAAAAACTAGTTTGGTCGAACCCAGTAAAGAGGCTTAACCAAGTGGGATATTGAACCTATTTGACTAAGTCGACTCCATTTGAAAGAGCCAAACTCTCGTCGTGGGAGAGGCTACAAAAAGGACTCGACAGGAGATCTTTTATGCAGTTGTTGGTATATAATTGATGTGGTTGTCCTATCCAGCCAATTAGGTCAAGTCTAAGCCCCATGCTAGGTATTATGGGTAGCAAAATTGTATTAACATTTTTTATGATTGATTGACATCTTCGACAAGAGGCCTTAGCTGCTCAAATGTGGCCACGTATACTTCTATCCTATGGCTAGTATTCATCATACTCTACTATAAAGCTCATACAATGTGCCATTCTTGAGGTAATGAAGTTTATACTCTCAAACTATAGCTTTTCTCTATCACTACTTTATCTATAATTTCCTAAAGTCAACCCCTCTTTTTTTTACATTGAAGGCTCGTGTCTAAAGCCCTCCTAGACTTATATACTTACTACTTTAATTGACTTAAACATCAAACTAAGTGTGGCCAACTCCACCACCATCAGAGAAAGTCATGTGTTGCTAATGATTTGTCCAAGTGTGAAGGAACTAGGCTTGCGTAGATGTAAAAGGGCTTGGGATCTTCTATCATATCAAGGGTACAAATTTTGAAGTCAACATTCCATGTAAGCATTATCTGTGCACTCGAACACCCCATTAGAAAGTAAACTCGTCGATCGAGATAAAGGTCTGGTGATCGTTTGCACTCCAGTGATCAAATCAATGGCTGAACAAGAAATAATGAGTGCAAGAGACACGGTAAGAGGATTTGGTTAGGGTTAGAATGATTCATATCTTGATTGTGAATAAACTCACCTATATATAAAAGAAATGGAGTTGGGCCAAGTGAGGCTTGAGGCTAATGGGTGGAGACTAAGCCTAAGATGATGTTGCTTGATTAAATAGGTCAAATTCAATTAAATAATTAATGTAGATTCGGTTAATGTGGGACTCCTCCGTTATTTGCATGCCACGAAATTTATAGGCTTAACAGTATGGTGAAATTATATTTTGCTTCTCTTTCAACGTGCCTTGAAATTGCAAGGGTTTTTACACCTTGCGATCTCAAGATACCTCTTTTCATTAGTTGCATTTTGATCCTCATTTCAGTTTTCTATTCAGCTCAAGTCTCTTATATTTGTAATTTAGGCCCTTCGTTTTTCCAAATCATGTCACATTGGTCCTTATCTTTGAATAATGCAAAAAATTTATCTTTTTTGCCTGATTTTCATTCTTTTCTCCAAAAGCTCGTCAGACATCGAGTTTGACCTAAACAAAAATATTTTCACACGATTAAACAGTAATTCCTTTAAAGTTCTCCCAAATATATACTTCGACAATCTAAATAACTATATAAATTACACTTTATGACTTATCACTTGTTCACAATTAAGATTTCATACAAAGCCAAATTATGGGAACTTACATTTATGATCTTTGAAGAGCAAGTTTTCTTGTGGAAACTAGCAACTAGAGAAATCAAACATATCTTCCAAGTGAATTTGACCCCAGTGGTACTCTCTGTCCTTTTTTTTCCTAGCTAAAATTTACAAGCACGGACGTTTGTCTATTGCCAAAAATAATAAGAAATAAAATTGATTGCTAAACTGAAATAAATGGAAAGATATAATTTACGACGGTGTATCCCATTGCACTCTCTAAATCCCGGTGACCAAGTTTCTATAGTTTTGTACAGGTTTTGTACAGTTAACTTATTTGAGTTTTGTAACCCTTTTGCTCAAATGTCATCTATTATATGCACACAAATAATTACATATTATCTCATAGTTTGATCGATAAAGCTATATGAACAGACAACTAGCCACTCTTGTTGATAGGGATTCAAAATGAGTGACGTGTCCAATAAAAAAGGTGGAGGGAAATGGGCACACGTGTGGACTAAGTAAAAGTTACTGCCCTCATTATAACCATTATGAAGAGAAAATTTCCTCAAATTTCCACAAATCTTCCAACTCCGACAACGAAGACACAACGATGCTTCTTGGATGCCCGACTGTTGTTCCTCCGGCTAAACCCATAAAATAGTGATATAGGGTTCTCACCGTGTTGCCTTGTCATCTTGTTGGCATCGAATACCTAAGTCGATTGGGCTACTTTCATGCTCCAATGTCGAACCCTGCTAGGTCACATTTTGCCATCGCACTTGAAACCCGCTAAGTTGCTTCTCATGGTCGCCTAGAACATTAAGGTATACAATATTTTTTGTCTTGCTTGCTATTTTTTATTGGTTCCTCATTATTTTTTTTACTTTTTCCTTTGTAAATCGGCAATTTGAACACAGTTCTTCGACGAGAGGTATTTGTAGAAATCACAAATGCACAATAATAAAGAAAATACTATAACGACGAATAAAGCGTCAATCATTGGACTGGGCTATTAAATATCAATGAGAATTTGTCCTACCTTTTTATTTGACCAAATTGAAAAACTCAAATTGGTGGTCAAAGTTTAAGCTAAACTAAAAATTTAAAGAAAGCAATTAATGAATTTCATAACTTTGATTCAAAAAAATATGATGAAACAATTGTATTGGAAATCATGATTACCACAGTTTGTCAAGTTTAACTTCGCTGGACAATATCTTATTCATGTTTCATATTATGTTTACTTCTTACACATCAGTGACCACGTAGTGAACCTAGGTTTGGGTTTATTCGAGGGTTTCGACTATAATGCTTGCCAAAAATAATTTTGTGATTACCTGTTCACATACTTATCGTTGTGTTTATATGGACTTCTAAACGTGTTTACTCATGTTATTGCAAGAGAATACATTATGGAGGAAATGCACAACAAGCTTGCTGATGTTGAAGCAGAATTTGATGATGAGAAATTGGAAAGCCCTGTTAACATTGTCGAAGGTGAAACCTCAGTGGGAGAGAGAGATAGTACCTGCTGTAGGCATGAAGTTCAAGGATGTAGAGGAAATGTTGAACTTCTACAAGAAAAATGCTTATGTCGTTGGTTTTCCAGTAAAGAAAAGAAATTCGAAATGGGGGGTTGACGGAGAAATGAGATATGTGACGTTGACCTATAGTCGTAAAGGTGGAAGAATTGGTAATACTGGTTGTTGTTCAAAGCCACAACCCACTATTCAAATGAGTTGTAGAGCAAGGATATCAGCATCTTCTAATATATTTGGAGTCTGGAGAATTAACAATGTCCACCTTGACCACAATCATGAAACAAGTCCTTCAAAGTCCAGACTATATCGACGCAACCGACAATTGAGTACCCATATGAAATGCAAACTTCAAGTTAATGATTTGGCAGGAATCCCATTGCATAAAAGTTACAATTTTGTAGTTGTAGAAGCAGGCGGTTATGATAAAATGAGTTGTGCGGAAAATGATTTTAGAAATTATATTGAACAAGTATGGAGATTAAGACTTGGAGAAGGGGATGCTATAGTAATACAATCCTACTTTTGCAAAGAGCAAGTGCAGTACTCAGGATTTTACTTTAGCATGGATTTGGATGATGAATTGCGGCTTAAGAATGTATTTTGGGCAGACAATCGTAGTAGGCGGGCATATATAGAGTTTAGTAATATTGTTACATTTGATACAACCTACCTAACAAACAAGTACGACATGCCATTTGCCCCCTTCGTTGGTGGTAGTCATCATGGGCAATCAACACTGCTTGGTTCTGGATTGGTGTCGAACGAAGACGCTAATACTTTTTTCTGGTTTTTCAGTGCATCTTCAATGTATGCATGGCATTGCCCCTCAAGGAATTATTACCGATCAAGACAGGACAATACAAAATGTAATTCAGATAGTTTTTTCCAACACAAAACATAGATGGTATTTGTGGCACATTCTAAAGAAGTTGCCTGAAAAATTTGGATACCATGAGGATAAATCTAGAATATTTCGTTCTATACATCAATTCGTTTACGATTCATAGTTTGTTAAAAGAATTCAAAGAGGGCTGGGCAACAATGATTGATACGTTTGATTTGCATGATAACGAGTGGTTGTCTGAACTTTATAAGAATAGAGGTCATTTAGTACCTTGTTTTTTGAAGACTACTTTTTGGGTAGGCATGTCTACCACATAAAGAAGTGAAAATATGAATGCGTTCTTCGACGGATATGTGTATTCCAAGACATCCTTGAAACAGTTTGTTGAACAATATGAATGTGCATTGCGGAATAAGGTTGAGAATGAATTCTAGGCCAATTTTAAGTCATTTTCACAAATGGTACCATGTGCAAGACAATACGAAATGGAGCAACAATTGCATTTAGTGTACACCATTTCTAAATTAAGGAAAGCACAAAAAAAATGAGTTTATGAGGAAAGTTTACTGAGACCTTATCTCCAGTTCGGAGGAGAACTTCAATACGACATATGAGGTACGGGAGGATGTTAAGAATGAGGGGTGACGGACGAATTTTTTTTTTCGTCCCATTCGAGAAAGAAAAGTGTGAAGTTGTATGTAGTTGCCACTTGTTCGAATTTCGGGGAATAGTTTACCGCCATGCAATCGCAGTATTGATTCGTAGTGACATCCTTTTACTTCCAGAAAGGTATATACTTCGAAGATGGAAGAGAGACGTTAGTAGAGCACATGCAAGGGTCCCAGTAAACTACGATGGTTTGGTTTGTTCTCCTGAACAGTTGAGGTACGATGAGGTGTGTCACGCGTTTGCACAAGTGGCAGACCTTGCTGCCAATGGCGAAGGGCGAGCACGTGTGATTATGGATTGGATAAAACTTCAGGCTGAAGACTTGATGATATTAAAAAAGGTCAAGTAGTGGAAGTAACGTGCTCTCACATCACACTATTCAGGGAGTCGATGAGTGTACAAAAATGTGAAATAATGCTAGCGTGAACATACGAGATCCGACATTGTCTAAAAGAAAATGAGCGCCTAGGAAATTACCAAAAAAAGGCCCGTTGGAGTCCATTTCAAACAAAGCTAAGGTAAATCTAAATAAAGTATTATATAAAGCATACGATCACCTCTTCTTGTAATACTGATTGCCGTAGATGCACATACAGAGAAGTTAGGGATCAACGAAAGGAAAGAGACCAGTGCGAGGCTTAGTGACATGCAAGAAAGTCCTCATGATACTCAGCAAGCAACCCAACAACAGCATTCCATGCCGACGCAATTCCAATCATCACAATATTCCATCGCGACACCGTTCCAGCACATTGGTGTCTTACCGACTTCAAGTTTGATACATCTATCCTCATCAAATGTTATATATACATCACAAGGTATGCACATAATTTTACATTTAAAATTAATCATGAATTTTTTTTCGTTTATTCACCTATTAGCAGATTCATGTATTGTAGGTCAAACTATGTCGTACTACATTTCACATTTACAAGATCGAGGAGGCTTCGACAACTGATCTTGGTTTATGATATGACATGTGAACAACAGTAGTGGCTTCATGAAGATGTCAATTGCGGATGAGTGTTGTCGTTAAGTTAGATTCTATTTTGTTTATGCTATGATGTTTTTAACACTTGAACTATATCCCACAACATAATCTTACTTTTAGTTGTAAAGTGGCAGTGTACATTCCACTATTAGTTGTAGTAAAAGGCAGAATCATTAATCTTCCTTTTGTATGAATTTTTCGCTTTACTATATGTTTCAAATTATGCATATTAGTTTAGATGCAATAATGTTCTCTGGTGTTTACATGTGGAAGGTATAATTTATTTTAACTAGCGATTGACTGGGGCGAATAGATTTTGTGCTCTTTGTTCTTATGATTTTGGATGTCCTTATAATCAGTTTGCAAAATTGTTGTGGTGACGATGACTTGCATGTTGAAAAACTATCTTCCATAGAATATAGTCTTTTTAGTAAGGAGGTAGTCCCAATTCACTCGACTTTCGACAAAAGATTATCCTGAAGAAATAACCTCGAGGCGAAAAGTTTACCTACTGTAACTCGAGATAGTTTCCTAATCGACTTCAAGTTTTGTTCCCATATGAGTCAGCTTATTCTAAATGTATGGAGTTCTGGTTCCAAAACTCTTGTAAGTTGCTCCTCGTGATGTGGAGTTTAATTATATCCCCTCCACTGGAAACTGGTTTAATATTTGTACGATATATAAAGAATTTTAGGTAGGAGGAGGCGTTTTTAGGTGGACGAGATGAGGGGTGAGTGAAAAACATTGTAATACTCTTCTTCGTTTTAGAAACATTGCCAAATAACTTTTAAAGCAAAATTAATAATAGCCACTGCTCCAGCATTCCTTGTCTTCAACATAAAATAGCAATCTGCCAAAATTAATAATAGTCACTGCTCTAGCTTGACACAATATGTATTACATATATATGTGAAATTTTCTCATGTTCCAAACTCCGCATAGGGTAGAAACGTTTAAACAGGTTTAAACAAGCTAGCAATACTATTTACACTGATATCATTATATAAAACAGGTTCACATTGTCTACAACACAAAACTAGCACAAAGTACTTGAAGGATCAGTTGCTATAATTTAACATCAACACTAGAATCCCACTAATCACTCTTAACGGTTCTGCAAGATCCACATCATCTTCCATTTCGTCATCACTCTCATTTTCTGCTCCAAGAAGCCACTGTTCGAAAAAATCAACTTCCTTATCTTGCACGTAAACATCATCCATATCATCCCATTGGTCTGTTCCAAGCTCCCCACCACAGCAAGCAACGTGCGAGAATGGTCTACTTCTTGCTAAAGCATCCACCAAGTCTCCATACACAGATCCAGTTATTCCCAACCATCTCAATCTTGGGAAATTCGACTCAACTTGAGTATATAAGCTCTTTCAGTTACTAAAATCTTGCACAATTTTCTAATTTCCTTTAATAATAAAATGATTTTTGCTAATAACAAAAAAGGGGAACTGATTTGGATAAAATTTTCTAGAAATAAAATGTTTCAAAAAGGTACATGGACAAGAAGAAAGGGTAACACCTTTTGCCATTCCATGTTATATATAAAAATCAAATTATACAAAAACCTTGGATCGAACAACGGGCGGATATGGTGAAGTGTGAGGCGAAGATACCTCCGACTAATGTTGGGGTCGACAGTGTGGGAAGGGTTTTCGCCTCTCTTTGCGTCTTGGAATGGTTGAAGTAGTTGGGCGCTATTTTGGTGAAAATTGAAGTTTTCATGTGTGAACAGTTGTGGCGACACGTACAGTGGAAGTATTGTCGGTGTGGGGGTATAATCTCTGACCGATATACAACTAGACGGTGTGGGGATGGTTTTCGCCTCTCTCAGATTTAACTCTTTTCGTCTTGGAATTGGTGTAGTCAGTGGGTGATTTTTTGGGAAAAATTGAAGTTTTCACATGTAATTGTACTGCCCACTTTTTAAATTTTAAGTGTTTTTTTTTTGTTTTCAATGCCACCTCAGCCTGTTAGGAATCCCTGTTAGGAAGCCCTGTTCGTGTAGCGCGATTGTAGTTTGATTAATCAATACAAGGGGTAAAATGCTCTAAAAACCAACACAAACTTGTCTTAATCGCATTATATCATCTTGTGTTCAGTCATGCATACAAAAGACACACCAAACAACACACCCAATCAAACCATCATCAAAGCCACCAATCATGGTTGCTTGAGTGGGACGAAAGTTGCCATTAACTCCCTTGTACTTGACAACATGTATCAATGAGGAAATAAGGTTAGTCAACTGACTAGCTTGCCTAAGAGCATTGATTTAATAATATTTGCACAACTTAAATAGTGTATTGATAAAAAATATGTGGGTAAAAAATAAGGAAAAACTTTAAATTTGCGTGTAATATCATTTTATTGAAAAATGCGTGGTTGAAATGATGTCAAAATATCGTTTAAGAAATCATTTTTTTCCCCAAATAAGGAGGCTCAATAAGGGCTTAATTTGTTCTCTTCCAATTTTTTTAATCAATTGGATCGAAACAAATGGAATAGAGGAAATTCTTGAATTTGCACTCAACTGAACTCGAAATTCAAGATAAATGGAAAGGAGTCATGTTGTTGGTAATTTTTGTTCTCAACTTGAGTCGGGACAACTTGAATACATGAGTTGGGGCTGTTATATCAACTACAAAACAAATATTTTTATACAGGTAATATGAAATTGAATATAAAAAGAAGAGAATCAAATTTTAGTAACCCCTTAACAAAGACAAAATCTCTGTTCTCGCAGAATCCAACTCGAATGACTATACAGACCTTGAATTTCAACGTGGAGGTAAACAATTCGTTCGTTGTTTAGAATAAGAAACAGCGAAGTAGCTGTATCCTTCATCATTAGTTTTTCTTGCACTTCCATAGCCCATCTCATCACTTTATTCTGCTTTTAGAAATCGCATAGAAAGTTTTTCTCTGTCGTAAATTTTTCCTTAGACCAGAAAAGCCATTTAACAGATAAAATACTAAGCATTTCTTGTGTTTTTCCAGGTGATTTCTCTATGTTAAATGAATATTGTTTTGCCCTTTGCTTATGTGAGGATCCTAAAATCTTGTTTTCTCAGTTGCCTTTTTCCCTACGATACGTGGGCTGATGCTGAAACTGAACTGCTTTTGAGTTGAGGTTAGAATTCCGGGCTTGATTTCAAGTCCATCCCGATCCAGTCCTAATATTGCTTGTTTATTTCGAAAATCGAACTTTATTTTTTTGTTAATTTTTTTCTGGAAGTTTCTATCTACTGGGATTATGTAGAACTACTTTTTCTGGGTAATTGTGCTAAATTTGAAATTGGGTTTTCTCTAATATGGTTTATAGGTTTGGGTTTTTGGAGTGTAGAATTTTTTTTGATGCAGGTTTTATTGATTATTAGAAGCAGCAGCGCTGGTGGCCCCCTTTTTAGGGGGCTGCTGCCTCTGCTGCAATTTCGGCAACACCATGGGTGTGGCGGTTGGAGGTGGTGGGGCTGCCGGAGATGGTAGGACTATGGTGGTCACATTAGGGTTTAGTAAATGAGTCACTTTTTTACTTTTGGATGTATCTTTGTAATTTGGGCTTATCTTTATAAGTTGAGCCTTTATTTAAAGATTGGCAACCCCAAATTAAAATTGTGAACATTTTGAGTCCATCAAAAATGAGGAGCAACAAAGATTATTGAAGAATTGGATTGGATTGTAGCCAAAGAGATTCTTTAATTATTGTTGTATTTTTATTTTCTAGGATGGACCATAATTGTTTATTTATTTACTTATTTATTTACCGTTGTGAATAGTAAATTAAAGAATGTTGATCATGTAGATTAAATAATGTGACACGGTTCACTATATTTATATGCATTGGTATCCTATAATTTATTTTGACTAATCTAAATTAATTGGAAATAGTAAAAAATTTATCTTCAATAATATTGTGTCATTATTATTATTTATATATGGTCGATGAATAATAAAAGGAAAAACAAAATTTCAAAATATGAAGTGGGAGAGGGTTTATAGGCATGTATTATTTCACCGGCTTCTCCGTTATCCAATTGATTATAAAAGTACGCAATATATTATTTTAGATTAACTAGAATTGAACTTATTAAAAGGATATTTTAAAAATGAGATAATGGGAGATTGTTCTATAGATAACATCTTACTTATTTTGGGTATTTCTAAAAAACTATTAACATAGGTTAATATACTTATAGGTGAAAATTTTGGACAACTTTCTATAGAAAATCTACAAAAATTATTCATAGGCAAAAAATAATCTATCCTTGTTTTAATTTTAGCATGAGATGTCCAACTTAATAAAATGAGTAGGAGGGTCCCGACTTAGTTGGCTAATGTAGTGACCTTCTAAAGATGGCATGTTAAAGATTGGAATGATTTAAGGTCTGAGATTAAAATATAGTTTTGGATCTATATGTTGCTTGCATACATAAATTCATCATACACAAAATATTATTCATTTTTTTATTAAGCGAATTGTTAATTTTATAGAAAATGTTGCTTAATCCAATATCAGTTATACTTAACAAAAACCAATTTGTGGAAGAAAATTATGTTGAAAAGGAATCTTAGCATCGTTCTTAATGCTGAAAACACAAATTCGTGATAAGTGAACTTTGTCTTGAGACCCTACTGATGGATCCACAGATTCTTATAAAGTTTCGTATGAGATGATCGATTGCTACATTTTGGCATCTATGTAAAGTATGTTTCTATAGAACCATCAAAACATGGCAATCGCTTTTGACCTAATGGAGAGTTTTCACGAGATGTTTGGACTTCAAAGCCGACAACCTAGGTAAGCTTCCATTAAGGTGATTATGAATCTTCGCATGAAATTGAGCACACCTGTGAGACCATATGCTAAGCATAATTGGTCACTATAATGTGGCTGACGTTTTGGAGCTAACATTGATTTCAAGGCTCTGTTTAATCTTGTTCTTGGGGTACTCCCTGAGACTTTCTCACATTTCAATGTTGAGTATAACCTACACAAGGTGAACAAGAGACGAAACTAATGAATGAGCTCAAAAGTGCTGAGTCTATCTTAAAGTTCGAGAGTGGTGATGTTTTGATTGTGATGGGAGGCCCCTCTTATCCTAAGCTTTCTTTGTTTATGGAATTGTCGGGATCACCTGGCCAAAAACGAAGCAGAGTAAAGGCAATGCTCTATTCGTTGCATCATGCTTACTAATACTTGAATTATAGATTTTGGAGCTACTAGTCATAGTTGCAATTCTTAACGGGGTTTTCAAGGGACCAGACAACTCACTCATGGAGATGTAAGGGTCGGTTGCAACCAAATTTTTTGCTGCCCTTACTTTATGTTTTGAGAATCATAGACATTTGACTTTGGATAATTGTTAACATATTCCTAAACTTGCTTGGAACTTCGTTTTTGTTAGTCTTTACTTCGTGTTGATTATTCCGTGCTTTTTACCAATTTTAAGGTTGCTATTAAGTTGAATAATTCCTCTTATTTGTTCGGGTCATAAACTATATGATTGACTCTATACGTAGTACTACTTCTAGTAAAAAGAGGAAATTAAATTTGGATGGTGAATCTGTATACGTGCTTAAATGAAAGACGGAGAAAGTGGAATCAAGGTCAAAAGTTTGTCTATTTGTGGTGTATCCAAAAGGAACTATAGTGTTAAAGAAGCCAAGAATCGAGAGAAAATTGTTGTTATTTTCTGAAATTTTCTGTCTCTTTTATATCTATTGTACTCGCCTATATATAGTTTGCTTTCACAAGGAAACTACAATCCCTAAAAATTAGGTATCCTAACGAAAAGATAATTTTCTAAATATAAAGATAGGTCCCTAATTATCTCCGATAACATCCGTCAAAATGATATTGTGAGGTCAAGTAGCAAATATTTGCCAACAAGGGTGTGATGTCGCTATCGAGTTATTGCCTTGCTGAAGACATCTGCTACTTGGATATGAGAAGAAACGTAGGGAAGAGATATCACTCGATCCTACAAAGTGTCACGAATAAAGTGACAATCAGCCTCAATGTGCTTGGTGAGTTTATGAAACAATCTGAATAAAACTAGTGTTAGGAAACCAAGTTCCTTTAGGAGACCTTGTAACTAAATAATATCATATTAAGCCGTAGAAGTGGCATGATACTCATCCTTAGCAAATGATTTAGAAACGTGATCTTATTTCTTACATTTCCAAAAGATTAATGCATCACCTAAAAACAGACGCCAACCCATAGTAGATATATGAGTATTCGGACACCTAACCCAATCAGCATCACTGTAGGCAACCAGCTGAAGAAATGAGCTCGTAGAAAGAACAACCCACAAACATGTGATTCACGAAGATAGCAAACTGTAGCAAGATGACGATACTGACGTGAAGATATAAACTGGTTGACTAGATGAACAACATATGAGATATCTAGGTGAGTAGTGATCAAATAGATAAGACTCCCAGCTAGGCATTGATAAAGAGTAGGATCATATAAAAGATCCCCTTCATCTTTCCTGTATTTGACATTGACCTCCATAGGGGTATCCACAAAAGAAGTATCCTCCAACCTAGCTAATTCGGTAAGTGTTTGAACATACTTATGCTGATTTAATAAAATTCCTGGGCTGATGATGAACCTAGAGTCCCAGCTAGCCTATATCTTTCATAAGGAAGCTTAGTAATCTAACCATAGTTGGTACTATTAATGATATCATCTACATAAACCAAAAGAAGAACAATACCCCTATAGACTTTTGGAAAAAGAGTGAAGATCACACTGACCCTGTGTAAAGCTGAAGGTAAGGAGGGTGCTATGAAATTTTGCAAACAAAGCTCGTGGAGCCCACTTCAGTATATACAAAGAATGTCTTAGTTTACAGACATCACAAGGAGAAGTAGTGGTCATACTAGAGGGAAGCTTCATATAGATCTCTTCAAGAAGATCGCCATGAAGAAAGACATTCTTCACATCCATCAGATGTCACATTTATCAAAGCCCTATTGTCATCATCATAACCCAACCATGTCCAGTCCCCCACCACCTTCGACCGTTGCATCCATTGAGATGTCGGAGACACGGAAATGACGATAGCCCCTAAAGGGACAACTAGCATTGTTGCCTCATGGTAGGAGAAGACGGTGCTTTAAAAGCACAGCCATGACCATGAACGATGGCCGTAGTCTCATCGCAAAAAACAACTGTGGTAATCCCGAAAGGAACGTCGCTATCGCCTAGGTCCCGACAGATCTTAGTCGACGGTTGCTTTCTTTTTGGTGGCATTTTATCTAACAACCCGACCTTTCCCAAATTGTTAATTTATGTACTATCCACTTTGGGATAGTCTAAGTCCATCTTTCCCCTCATACTTTTTTATCGTGTCCTTTGTGTAATTGGTACCATGATTCAATTTAAGTCTCTCTTAAGGGAAATACCATATGTTCAAATTATGAGAGACACAACATAAAGTCATGAGGGGTAAGATGAGCTTATGCTCTCTCAAATGGATGTATATAAGTTAACGGTTTGGGTACAGAGGTTGGGTCGTTACAAAAAATGTATTTTTTTGTAATGACTTTACTTCTACACCCAAGTCATTATATCATACGTACTATCCGCTTTGGGAGGACATCTATCATCTTTCCTCCTCACGGTTTTCTATCTTGTTCCTCAGGATTCGAGCCGAAAAATCTACCTTATGATAGACTTGAGATGAATCATGATACCAATTGAACAACTTGCTAATTGGTACCAGAATTCAATTTAATTTTTTCATATGTAGAGGTTTTGGGTTCAAATCCTGGGGGCGCGAGAGCCTACGCCCATCTTACCCTCCACAAATTTCTATTGCAACTCCAGGATTCAAACCATGACCTTTACTATTCTTTACAAACCAAAATCTCCTAATGCACTTGAGATACAAAATATGCAGTGAGCCCAAGATATGAATACATAAATTACAATTTATGCTTTATGACAAAAGATGCATTTTCCTTTAAAAGAAATATGAACTATATATATTAACAAGGCGAGTCATATAACTAATGACAATATGCGGCTCGAAGTCGTGGATCAACAGACTTCAATGCTACTCAACTCAGCTAAGTTGAATCTTGGTACCAATTAGACAACTTGCCTAATTGATACAGGATTCAACTTAAGTTTCTCTTAAAGAAATATCATGGGTTCAAATCCTAAGAATGTGACAGAAATTTGTGAGGTGTAAGATGGGCTAGGCTCTCCCCTAACAGACAATATGTAAGTTAAAGGATTGGGCATAGCGGTCGGGTTGTTACACTTGACACCTCCATTTTTCGGCCACCAATCTCTATCTAACTAATTTGTTGAAACAAGTCAATATTTACAATAACAAATGCAATAATGGAACTCTGATGCATTATGACTTGCAAATCTCTATTTTACAAGAAATAAAGATGCAATTAATTATTATTACAAACTCAGACTATCCCAACAAATTACAAGAAGATGATGACGATTGTAAGGCCATAAGCAATTATTAAGACATTTACTTTAACACAAAACAAAATATTTTAATAACATGTCAACATCAAATAACCCTATCATCATCCTAACTAAAATGCATTTTTAACAAGATTTAAGTCTTAAATCCTCCTTTAGGAGTTCTAGAACCATGGCTCTTCATACTGCTTTTTGGTTTTTTGCTCTAAGTCCTATATAAATTAGTTTCCTTTGAGATAAAGAAACCAAATAAAGAAAAGATCGTTGATCTCCACAAAATGTAATGAGAGCTTAATTTACACATTATAGATTAAGGAGTATACCTTACCATCTTTAAATGGCTCTCTTCACCAATCCAACTAGCTTTCTTTCTTCCAGTTAGCCTTCTCCTTTAGATGCCTGGTGAAATGTGTAGAATCCTTGAACCCAAAAAAATGTGCCTTAAGTGACATATATAATATACGTATATACACAATTAGGGAAACATTTAGGCCTTATTTTGATAAAATTCAATTAAATATGTGATTGAAAAGTTGATGAAATGTGTAGATTCTATAAAATGTGTGGTTAAAAGTAAGTTTGAGGGAAAAATGAGTTAGAAAATGGGGGCTAAACTTCTTTAGACTTGTAGTAGATCATAGGACATCTATCTCGAAGCCAAGGGAGGGATCAAAATGGACTCAGAAGACCCTAGTTCCAATAGATAATGTTTTCAAATTGGTCAACTTTTCAGCATTTGTTTTTAACCATTGAAATGCTTAAGAATGAAAACATTCAGATGGCCTATAGTTTTGGAAAACTTTCTGCAGCTTTGGATTCTTCTTGTGATTCTGATTACAATTGATATTCCTTCGAACTCTCTATCGTATATGATGTGAGGTATGACAATGACTAATCATAAATTACTCCTAATTAAAAGAAAGAGAAAATTTGTCAAACAAAATTCTAAAATTTTGGTCTCTGTTGGCCTTATACAAGGCTTCATCAACCTTTTCTTCTCGACTTCATTTTACCAAGAACGTCATTTCAGTCCTTAAAAATGGAAGTTTTGTTTACCATTCATGACGTTTCCACTTGTCTGGTTGACAAATTCAGCTATTTATCATAATTTCTATTGGTATTTCCAGGTGAAGACAATGATTATCACAAAGCAATACCGCTGCATACATTCAGCAAGTTGTCTTTGCACAAAAGGGCATCTTACCGAGGAAGTGATATTCCTGGTTTTTAATCAATTAAGTTGGAACCCTAAGTTGGTTGCAACACTTTCTTGTGTATGCAAATGGTTTGACGATCTTGCAAAACGAGTCCTCTGGAAGGAGTTTTGTAAGACTCGAGCTCCTAAAATGATGCTCGATTTGCAATCCAGTGGAAGTCACAGTATTGATGGTAACTGGAGAGCGCTCGGCAAACTACTCATATACTGTTCGGGATGTGACAAGGGTGGGTTCTACAATAATATTCACATTCCTGGCCACTTTGTCTACAAAACAAGGTTCTCGAAAACATCAGGGAAGAGCTTTTTATTACCAGAGTGTAAAACGGACATTTTATACGTGTCTGATCCCTGTGAACATCTTGACCAAGGGGACGAAGGGGATGTTGGATTTTTCCGAGGAATATTTAAATCCTTTGCGGCATCAAAGGTCAGGAAATTGCTGATTAACAGGAGCGCACCACTGCATCCTACAGGGGTATGTCCATATTGTAAGGCGAAGTGGTGGAACATGCTGCAAGCTAAAATGATACCAGCAAGTGCAAGAAGTAGGTTGGGTGCTTATGGGGATTCCATTGAGTATTGTGTGTGCCTTAATGGGCATGTGCTCGGGATTTGTACCCTTTTGCCCTTGTCTGATACAGATGACGCATCAGAGGAGTGACATCAGTGATGATAACGTGCATCTTTAATCAGGTTTTGTTTTCTCCTAATGTTCTCATTTCTAGATTTGTAGATGGCATTCTCTCTTTTTTCCTCCTCCTTATACGTGTACACTTATCTAATTCCTTTCAGTTTTGGGTGGGAGTTGTCATATAAGATCAACAATTTTCAATGGCAGTATGTATATGATGCAAGAATAAGAATTTTTGATGTTTTGTTTTAGAGACTCTCTTATTCTTCTACACGTTGAACGTGGCTAGGTTAAACTCTTCTATCTGCCTCTTCTTTTACTGTTTTACTTCTTCTCAACATCATCTCATACCAGTATCCCTCGTTAATTATGTATTATGACATTAAACCAATTTATGTGCTTGTATTGCAAGAATTTCGTGTGTTCATAAATTACATGTTATCATAATGACATTCAATGCTATTTCTACATGTTGACCTTGTTTCATGGGGTGACTTTCTTTCTAGCATAAGAAGGGACACCATGAGGCAATAATCTACTCTGCCAGACTAGATTCCTCCTTTTCTCAAACGTTTCAGGACGAAAAACAATTTAAATACAATGCATAGAAAGCTTTGCAACTGAGCATTTGAATGCATTGAAAATTAATTGTTCATTGATGAAAGCTCTGATGCTCGGACTTTTCGAAATGGATGAAGTACCAATGTCGACAATACACGACATGGTATGGGCATGGATATGAAATATGTCAGATCCTCCAAGTTTCAACTGAACACTTCGCCATTTCTGCTTCTTTCTTTCCCTTTTCTTCTTTTTTGTTTCTATTTTATTCGCCTTGACTCTTTAATCAATGCTCATTTCTTTCTTTGTGAACAATTAATTTTGGTCAATTTAAAATAACATCTTAGGTTAGTAAAACAATTGAAGTTTAAAAGACATCTCACGTATCGAAGTTGGAAATGTAGACTCTTTTTAATCATATTCCCATATCCTATATTTAAAAAAATAAAAGATCCGACACTTCGATATGAACCCATACCTGAGTTTGAACATAATAGGATGAAAGTATAAAACAATTGCTGGTGCAAGGTGAACACCCAGTTAATTGACAACAATTTTGAATACCTTATACCCCCTATAATAGCTTAACCAAGAAAAACCTAAGCAATAGGAGTAAATCTTTAAAAGGCGAGGAATCATACTAAATATTTATAAATAGCGTAGTTATTTTACTGAAAAAGAAATTACTTAAACAAATATTTACTAAGTGCGGTCGAAGTTAAGCAAATTGCGGCTATGAATGGGTTAAGGGGCTACATATAGCTGCGGTCCTTGATATTCTTTTGCATTTGTTTTGGTGACGTCCTCGACGCTATCAATGTATGATATGCTTTAATAAGTTCTTTGACGGATTCTCCTTGCTGCTACATCCACTCCATTTCACCAAATACTCTTAATGGTCCTTGGAAGACCTAGTAACTTGGTGTGCAAGAATAGCTTCAGCACCCTTTTTCTAGCTTTCTTCAATATATGTCGCTTCAGCTTATTTCTGGATACGTCCTCGTCTACAAAATATGGTTTAGTTACACCAACATGGAGGATATTGTAGATTTTGCATCATAAAGGGAGTTTTACTTTATATGCGACTTTTCCAATCCACTTCACGATAGGTAATGGCTCGATGTATTTTGGCTCCAACTGGGATTTCCCCTCCTGTTAGTTTATAAACGTTTCCATTAGGGAGCTTAACCATCACCAAATCTCTCAACATTAAATCCAAAGAAATGACATTTTAGATCAACAGACTTTTTGTACCATTTATGCAATTTCTCAAGACAGCTTCATTAGGAGAAGTTGTAGTTTGAGGGGATTTAATACTTTGATCAATATCCATAGTATGAGAGAGTAAAGGATGCTGACCGGTGACAATATCAAAATGACTCTTATTGATGAAAGAGCTCTTTTGGACATTAAAGCAAACCTAAACTGCATCTAAAAGTTTCACACTGTTCTTCAGCGAAGTAGAGATAAAGTACCAAAGATATTTCTCAAAAATAAAATTGAAACACTTTATCGTCCATGAGATTGTGGGAGAAAAACTATGACTCATTCTCAATGTTGAACCAAGAATTTTGAATAATTTAGTCCAAAATATGCTAGTGAATCGAAGATCCCGATCACGTCTTTAGGGTAGTCCCCAATATCTCTCAAAAATAAAATTGAAACACTTTCCCGTCGACTAGCTTGCTCGCCTGAGAGTTTTGGTTGAGACTTGAAGTGGGTAACAGTAGTATTGTCGATCTTCACAAGTAGGTATTGACTTAAAATGGATTACTGCCAATAACTCCTACTCGTGCGCCGAGTAATGGCATTCTGCATTAACTTTTATATACGATCGAATGCCCTTCTTGCATGAGGACTCCTCTGAGAGCAAAATCTGGAGTGTTGTTGGATTTTATGCGTAATAATAAAAAGATGAAAAAGATAATACAAATGAATTTTATGTGATTCGACGGTGTGCCTACGTCCACGAGAGCGAAGCAGAGATAATTTTATTCAGTAGTCAAAAATAGGGTTACAACATATTATTTATACTAACTCTAACCTGGACCCATATAAGACTTTAAGGCTTGTACAAGAAATACCCCTGCCCATTTGATTCAGGACCTGTGTTCCACTCTATATGAGCCACATGCACAACAAGTATCTATCTGATCTTCAAATGGTTTAGTCATATCTGGGAAGACCAACATCGAATTTATGCACATAGACTTCTTCAATTTCTCAAAAGTTGCTCATTAATGACCGATGAAGTTGATAGAGGTGTAGTTGAATGAACAATTAAATGGTTTCACATGAAGTTCATTCTCCCGTGGCCAATTAAGAACGTTTCTTACATATTGCACATGTTCCTCCAAGGTCACGCTGTAAATTATGTTGTTATCTAAGTACACTACCACAAAGTCATCCGAAAACTCGTGAATTACTTGATTCATCATCGTACAGAACGTTCGGGAAAATTTTTCGAGCTAAAAGGCATAATCTTGAATTCGAATGCTCCATAGCTAGTTACCACCGTAGTCTTTACTTTATCCCTTTCCTTGATCCGAACTTGCCAGTGTTCGAATCTTAGATCAATCTTTGTGTAATACTTTGTTTGCTTAAACAGACAAAGCAATCCACAACAAGTGGAATATGACAACTGTTCTTCACAGCAATCTTGTTTAGGACTCGATAATCACAACATATTCGGATAAAACCATTGGCCTTTTTCTAAAATAACACGGGAACTCCATATGATAATTTCACGGGCATGATAGTCCGACTTTCCAACATTTTTCCAATTGTTTCCTAAGCTCAAGCTCAATTTGAGACATATGATAGGGTGCCTTGGCTAGAGGCTTAGCACCTAAAATAAGATCAATTTCATGATCGATTTCCCTCCTTAGCAACATCTCTTTGATAATTCATCAAACATGATGTCCTCAAATTCATGACAAGTTATGGAATAGGACCAGCAGCCTTTTTGAGGACCAGCAGCCTTTTTGATGTCCTCTAATTAAAGGGCACACAAAAATGAGGATTCATTTCTCTTAAAGCAATTACTATATTGTACGGCTCATCCATCCTCCTCATTGTCATTAACGAATCGGGGTATGAAAACACTACTAGTTTATATCTCGAAGGATCCAATTCCGAAATAACTTTAAAGTCATCGATCTGAACTATGAACAAATTAGTCCTACCCTTAATTAACATAATTTTGACTACTCTTGCAATCGGTTGAGCACCTGAATTGATTACCTTGACTTTCCCACTACCTTTCTCTATAACAAGTCCGAGGTGCTCTACTTCGGTATTTGCAAAATAGTTATGAGTTGCATCAGTATCTACAATAGCCCCGATTGGCTTCCCATTGATCTTCACATCGATGTACATCAAGCAATCGGTCCTACGAATACGAGATTTCGACTTTTACCTCCTTCAAGGGAACATTATCCTTTTCAATATCAGACCAATGTGAGGATGCACCAATCACATCCTCAACCTCTCCGGAGTTGATCACATAGTGAATGCTAGCTTGCGGGACATCCTGCTTTTGAGCCTTACACTCCACTTGCTAGTTGACAATCTGCATATACGTAACGTACCTGCAAAAAATCCAACATTGATAAGGTCCTTCACATATAAAGCACACAATTTTGGAAGTAGTATCAGCTCTAACCCTTCAGTGGCTTTCCTATAGGTAAGAGTAGCATTCTTCCCCCATTCGAATTCAAGTGGGCTTGAAAGGTCTATTTCCTTTCGCGTTAGATTGAATATGCCCTTGTGGCCAATCTTCTCTAAGTTCAAGTAGATAGTCCATTAAACATCTGCCAGCTTCCATTTTTGTGTCTAAATCAATTAACTTCTGTCTTTGAAGTTTTATGCTTGTCAACGGTATCAGCCCTTTCATGAAATTGAAGAGCTTCTCCTTTTTTGACCTGTCTCGAATATTCAGCATGTGCTCCAAAAAAACTTTACCATACTCCTTAATGGAGCCTGTATGTTTCAGTTGTTGTAGTGCCCATTGGGCTTGCTATTCCACATTTTTGGGAAAAATTTTGATTTAATTGCCTCTTTAAGAAGATCCAAAAAATCTATTCGAACCATGTTGGCTTAAATATCGACATATTTTGTCTATTATCATAGTTTTACATCTCCACCTAGATATATGATAGCTTTTGTAACCTTTCTTGCTTCGCCTTTAATGGTAACCACAAGAAAGTATTGTTCCATGTCAAGCAAGAAGTTCTCAACTTCCTTTGCGAGTACCCCTCCATAGGTGCACAATTTTGGGATTCTAAGTCTATAGATACTCTTGTACGGGAGCTTGTCCATTGCCAATCGCTCGTTGAAGCATTCACAACTGACATCTGAATTTTCCATTCCTCCCTATAGATTAGGAATAATTGTAACAGCATTAGTCATTCTGGGCAAGCTACTCGGCTTCCATCCAGTTGGATGTGTAATTCTTGGATATTCGCTTGAGCCACCTCAACCTTTTTGAAATAAAATATTACAATTGAAAGGAAATTACAACTTAAACAAATATTTACAAAGTGGGATGGAAGTTGGGGCTACATGTGGGTCAAGGGGCTAAGTACAACTGTGGTCCTTGACAACTTGGATTGGTTAAGCACTTCTATTGTGCTCCTCATTTTTTATGAGGACATCATCTATTTTAGTTATTTTTATTTATTTCTAGTTGGATTTTATTTTAGTTTTGAATTCTTATTTATGTAATTGGACTTGTATCGGTCCAAGCCCGTTCTAGTTAGGGTTTTCTCTTTACTATTTAAACCTAATTTCCTATGTAACTTCATTAGTTTTGATGAATATGAATTATTGAGATTGGTTGTGGCCTAAATTTCTGCTTCTTCTCCAATTTCTTCCCTCCATTCTCTCTGGTTTCTCCCTCCCTTCTTGCTTCTTATTTCTATTCTTTAATTTGTCCTGCATCAAATTTGGTATCAGAGCTAAACTTGGGTAATATTTTTTAATCCAATCTATCAAATCTCCTTCAATTATCTTTCCAGAAAATTTTCCACCTATCTTCACAAAATCACGCACCCGTCATACATAATTTTTTCGATTCATTGATCAGTTTGCCCAAAACCCTAGAGCAGCACAAAAATAGAATTTGTTGTGGTAACAATTTCTTTCTTTCCAGTCAAAAAGAGGGGAAAAAAGGGTGGAAAAACAAAGAGTGACCCAAAAAAAAAAGAAAAAAAAAGAAAAAAAAGATTTGAGTCAAAAAAATTGAAAAAAAATAATAATAATAAAAAATCGAGTCAGTTCTTTTTGCTGCGCTACATTGCTACTTCATAGGGTTATTTGCTAAACCATAATTCCATCATAAAAATCACAGCCAAATATACACGACCCAAAAACTGAACCATAACACCAAACTCGTTACCTAGATCTACTATCAATAGCCTACATGCCTATTAGCCCAATCCATCAAGTTATTCCTAAATTCATCAGCTCCCATCTAAGACCCACAAATTCCAAGCCCAATAACACCAACTCGGCCCAAATCTTTTATCACTTCCAATCCAGCCCAACTCCCAACTTGTACTCCACAGTTTCACCCAATCCATTTATCACTTCCAAAATTCCGATCCTCCACGATGGTGACCCATCCAGCGGGAACTCTAGTCGACGACCTTCACGTTGGCGACATCATCGCTCCACTCTTCACCACCACAAAGACTTCTCACACCATCCATCGCCAACCGCAAGTGCTCTACAACAAACACCATTTCACTTCCTTTGATGATCCATTTCTACTTAGTTTTGCAGACCCCCAAGAGGACTATGTTGATATTTCTACTTCAATACCACATGTCATGGCATATCAAGATAAAATTGATGTTATTTAAGATGAGCGTGTTGTATTAACCAATGATTGCAAGATTCAGTACTTTCTTGTTTGTTGGGTAGATCGACGAGCTTCTTATGCTCCTTATTATGTACAATCATGTGAAAATTTTGAAGATGAGGTGCATGAGTATTGGTTATTTGGAGTCCAGTATCAGTACTTGATTAGAATGAAAGACCGCCCCCTTGGCCATATCATATCTCTTGGTAATAAGCTACAGTTTTCAGTACTATTAATCATGGAATTTTGGTACTTGGTTCTTCAGAAAAATCGTTCCCCATGGCTTGATTTGAAGCATTTGGAATTTCAGATTGATTGCAGCCTACAGTGATCTATCAACTAGACAGGGTCGAGTTTTTCTCCCACCCCGGGAGAGTCGATGAGGACATTATCTATTTTATTTATTTCTAGTTGCACTTTATTTTAGTTTTAGATTCTTATTTATGTAATTAGGCTTATATCGACCCAAACCCGTTCTAGTTAGGGTTTTCTCTTTACTATTTAAACCTAATTTCCTATATAACTTCATTAGTTTTGATGAATATGAATTATTGAGATTCGTTATGACGTCTCCCTCTTCTCCCTTTCCCTTCTCCCTAAATTTTTGCTTTTTCTCCGGTTTCTTCCTCCTATTCTCTTCGATTTCTCCCTCCCTTCTTGCTTCTTCTTTCTATTATTTAATTCGTCTTGCATTATTTTTACCATGTTGAATTTATATCGACTTCGTGTATGCTGTTGCTCTTTATGACATCTGATATTGATATGTGATTTCCAGGTACATGTTTCTTAGTTCATGTGAATTTAGTATTAAACCGAACTTTGAGAAGACAATGAATAATATTTTAGCTTCTTTTTCTTCATTAATATTGTGCACTTTTCAATCTTCTTTACCAAAAACATGAAATAAAACAATTGTTGTGGGTGTATTTTGGAAACTTGGCCAGCAAATATTAATTTGACATTGTCTTTTACATACTTTCTCAGACTTGTACATGTTAAACTTGTCTTCGTTAAGCTCTTCTATTGTGCCTGTCCTTCTAAACAATGTAAAAAAATTTATTGACTTTACTCATGCTTCTTCCTCACATGATATCTCAATTCTTCAGGTACTATGACATGAAATGTGTGTATTGTTGAAGTGGGTGCGGAGCTGATCAATAGGCAGTTTGGGAAAGCTAATCTTTTCTAAGCTGCTCTCCTCAAATTTGTCACTTTGGAATCTCTCTTCCTAATCCTGTTGATAACTATTCTTCGTTAGCTATTGGTGTCACAAAGTAGTTCTTGTAAACCATGTATACTCTGTGTGTGTGTGGCATTCAGAACTTACTGTTTCAGTGAGACGCTTTAACACTATAATTATTTATCTGTTATCATTTTGTTCACTTTGATGTTAATTTGACTTGCAAAGAAATATTTTCAATGCATGTTAATTTTTCAGTTTAGATAGGATTTTAGTTTCTGTTTGTAAGTGTTGTCCGATTCCTCTCAGCAAAAACAAGCCATTGCTGTGCCAAAAGTTAATCATTTGTGTTATACTCGAAACCTTGCAGATTTTCCATGACATATTTGACGTAAAATACTAAACACGACTAGGCAAACCAAGACAATATCGTGTTTACACAAAGGCAGCAACAAGGACTTGTCAAGACACAAAGACAAAGGAATCAACATAGACATGGAACATGACGAAAAGAGATGTAATTCAATTATGTCATGTCATCAGCAATAACCTGCGAGTAAAGTGGCTAGCTAAGAGGAGATATTGGATAGTGGATTTTTTTTTCCTGAAAAGAGATGTAATTTAGTTATGTCATGTCATCAGCAATAACCTATGAATAAAGTAGCTAGCTAAGAAGCTATAGGCTACGTGCTTAACACATGCAAGTCGGACTATGATTATCAAAGTGTTCTTCAAATTCCCATGCATAAGTTATACATAGATAGTAGAAGACTACGTTATCTAAAAAGCCCGTACCACACTATTTCCCTATTTTTTGAGACCTCCGTGAATCTTTAGCATTCATGTTCATTGAATTCCACCCGGCATTCTTTCATCGTCCTCAACCCATCATTGTGCCTCTTTCGTATGGACATGAACAATCTTCGACCTGACACGTCGGTATATCTACAACTAAATCCACCAACTCTAATGCAAAGAAAAGGGTCATCAATTGCTTCTAAGAACCTAACAAAATATGATAATTGACTCGAATTTCTTTAGAATCAGGCAAGGTACAAAATCTTCTCTCGAAAAGAGACTGACCATAGATGACACAGGAAGCTATTCGATCAAAAAATATACGTCGATCAATACTACTACCTCCCAAAATCAAACAGAGTACAATCAAACTAATCATAAGACCGTGGGGTAGTAATAATAAAATGAGCAATCCCATGAGCCTTGGTTGTTCCCAAACGAGGTATGTAGCAACACTGTCCAGAGCGAATAACTAAAAGAGCTGAGATGCCCTATAAAATAGCAGCATTAGATGCCAATAAAGAAACGAGGTTTCGACTGTGAACTACCCTGTGAGCATTGGACTCAACTTCCAAATCCATGAAGCCATTTTCCTTTGCAACTGGAGACCATAACACAGGGCAATTGATTCAGCAACTTCAGGGTCAAAAAGGCCCCTAATCTGCCGAGAGCTGGCCACCACGACCAGACCATTATGATCTCTCATGATGAATCCCATTTCAATAAAATCCTCTTCGACAGAGACTATATCATCTGCATTCAATTTCAGGTAACCCAAATCCAGTTTGCACCATCCAATACTAACCGTGGCCCCGAAACCGACCGAACAAATATTGGATAGTTTTTTAACAAGTTTATAACTTCATTTACATGATCTATTATTGTCCAACCCATCAAACTAAACATGTCAGAATCATATCTTCTTTACCCCAAAAAATTATACTTTCTAGTATCATGTAGTCCATCTTACCAAACATGTTAACAATAATATGGAAGTCACTTTGAATCTAACATGGCCATCCTTTCCGGCACATTTATGTTGCAATCGAGTCCAAGAGTCTTGAGACAAGTTTACAAAACCATTAGAATATTCATTCACGTAGGCCTTTAGGTACATTAGAATATTCATTCATGTAGGTCGTTAGGCATATCTACTGAAATTAGATCCAGCAGAAAATAATTTACATACCTATATCGACAACATTTGGATCAAAAACGGAAAGCGAAAGGCAGCTATTAATTAACGACAGAGTTCAACACCATCAATATCACGTATTCTGCTGACTGTGCTCTTGTTCGGCCAAAGTCTACTCTGGTGATGCTCATTGGGCCAATTTTAACTGCAAGAGCAGACTTCTTGCAAATGTTTGCAAGATGAATAAAAAATGACAGATCAGCAAGGGCTCAAAAGTATCTTAAGGCATTTACATTGACACTCTACAAAATGACATAACAGACAAGTATGAACCAAAACCATAGTAAAAACCATTTAAATGGACCATTAAAATAGCAGCATTAGATGCCAATAAAGAAACGAGGTTTCGACTGTGAACTACCCTGTGAGCATTGGACTCAACTTCCAAATCCATGAAGCCATTTTCCTTTGCAACTGGAGACCATAACACAGGGCAATTGATTCAGCAACTTCAGGGTCAAAAAGGCCCCTAATCTGCCGAGAGCTGGCCACCACGACCAGACCATTATGATCTCTCATGATGAATCCCATTTCAATAAAATCCTCTTCGACAGAGACTATATCATCTGCATTCAATTTCAGGTAACCCAAATCCAGTTTGCACCATCCAATACTAACCGTGGCCCCGAAACCGACCGAACAAATATTGGATAGTTTTTTAACAAGTTTATAACTTCATTTACATGATCTATTATTGTCCAACCCATCAAACTAAACATGTCAGAATCATATCTTCTTTACCCCAAACAATTATACTTTCTAGTATCATGTAGTCCATCTTACCAAACATGTTAACAATAATATGGAAGTCACTTTGAATCTAACATGGCCATCCTTTCCGGCACATTTATGTTGCAATCGAGTCCAAGAGTCTTGAGACAAGTTTACAAAACCATTAGAATATTCATTCACGTAGGCCTTTAGGTGCATTAGAATATTCATTCATGTAGGTCGTTAGGCATATCTACTGAAATTAGATCCAGCAGAAAATAATTTACATACCTATATCGACAACGTTTGGATCAAAAACGGAAAGCGAAAGGCAGCTATTAATTAACGACAGAGTTCAACACCATCAATATCACGTATTCTGCTGACTGTGCTCTTGTTCGGCCTCTGCTTCAAAGTCTACTCTGGTGATGCTCATTGGGCCAATTTTAACTGCAAGAGCAGACTTCTTGCAAATGTTTGCAAGATGAATAAAAAATGACAGATCAGCAAGGGCTCAAAAGTATCTTAAGGCATTTACATTGACACTCTACAAAATGACATAACAGACAAGTATGAACCAAAACCATAGTAAAAACCATTTAAATGACCACGTTTATTCCTCACATTAAGCAAAATGATTTGATTAGTTACAATTAATTTGAGGTTTACAGACATAAATAAGTCAATAAATATCTAAGCTAAAAAACTTTATTAGTCACAAGTAATTTTGAGGTTCACAGATATAAGCAAGACAATATAAATCATAGTTAAAATAAATTTCGAGAGGTAGAAATTTATTCTGTTTGCATTCTCTTTCTTGGGTCGAGTCAGCAATATCTATATTACAAGTAGGATACCAAAATTCCTTACGGAATGGTAATCAATCCTACGTTTGAGATTTTTAAAAACTAATAATCGACAGCCAAATGATGTTAAAACCAGGTAACATTGAATCTTCACCATATTCTAGTTTTTCAAAGCAAATAGATAGATTTGAACAAAACAGACTTCTAAAGTTTAAAATATAGTTTTAATTCTTACCAACTGCATCCATCCAGCTAACTTAGGCATGAACTTTTGGATATGTTCCTCAGCTGTGTTCTTGGCTTTCAGTGTCTCACATTCAAAAAAAACTGAAACCCAGTCATTCTCACAAGGGTGATGGTGGAAAATAAAAGAAGTCCTGTTTAAAACCATGACAATTATGTGTAGACATTACACCTCGTATGTATTGATAGAAAGCTCAATATGCACCCATCTACCATGCAACATGCATTCAGATATTATGAAACAATAAACTAAGCTTGTTCTCAATAAATCAGGAATCGGTTAAATGGAATTTTTTTCTTTTCCTCCATCTAGTTCATTGCTAAATCTACAAGAGAATCTAAAGCAACTAGATCCTTCCCATCCATAATGTACAGTATTAGTTTGGTCTACTCCTCCCTATTTTGACTTGTTTTACTAAGATCTCATTGGAAGCCTCTGTGGATCTATGCAAAACACGTCTTAATCATCTAAGTCGACATTCCTTCAATTTATCTTCAACCATACCACTCCATTTGTTGGTTCAATCCTAATCTTATCTATTTAGTATTATTAAAATATTATAAATTATATTTAATAAATTTGTGTTTCTATTAAAAAGTAGAATACCCTTTTTTAGGGCTATAAATAACTCTAAGAGGAAAAATTGTGTGATAATCACATAATCAACACTATTGGAAAAATATCATGGAGATTATTCTTTAAAATCTTTTCATATCTATAACACCCTCCATCAAACTCAATATGGTGTAGTGACAATCAAATTGAGTTTGAAAATTAAATTGATTCAATCAAATCTTCATCCTCCAAGGATCGAAGGATCCTTCAAAATTGCTTGCGTGCCAACCAAGCCAAGCAAATAACTCAAAGTTGATACCAAAAAAAATTTATCGTCCACCAATCTAACCAAATCATCACCAAAACTTGAAGGAGACCCAAAAATATAACGAACAAGGCCAAAACAAGAAAATCAAATGGTTTTAATAACTAGACAGGCCAAGAAAAGACCATGTTTAATAGTAGCACTCCAAAAATTCATGGGCATTATTAGTACCACGCTTACATATAGGACTAACGAAACAGGAACCCTGGCACATGAGGAGGCTAAAACAATAGATGTGATGGAAATAAATTCGATGGAAAAATAACATGATTTTTTTTTTCAAAAGAATTCTAGAATCAACTTGAAGATTAACTCTCTCCAAAATGGAAACAACAAGAATAGCCAACACCTAACAAGATTTGAATTAAGTAGAAATCCAAATTTAGATTAAATCAATGACATAAGTAGACTTGACTACGCAGAATATGGACGAATATATTAAAAAAATGAAAAAGAATATTCTAGATGAGGATATCTAATCAAAATAAGAAAATTGACAGAACGAGCGGCCTTCGAAGAATAGAAGATTGCAAATTTAACCCAAAATGAAATTAAATCCACTCTGATACCATGTTAAAATATTATAAATTGTATATAATAAACTTGTGTTTCTATTACAAAGTAGAAAATCCTTTTTATATGGTTATAAATAATTCTAAAAGGAAAAATTGTATGATAATCACATTATCAACTATTAAGAAAAATAATCTCACACTATTGAAAAAATATCTTGGAGATTATTCTTTACAGTCTTTCCATGTCTTCAGCAAGTATGAACAAACATAAGTACTAAAACATATCACATGCATAGACAAATATTTTACCCTTTTCCTTGTCATTTTGCCAAAAGATGTCACAACACCACGATTAATCGAGTTGTAAAGATAAATGAGCAGACACTAACAAGTAAAATCAAGTGGCTATTGACAGACATTAAATTATAGTATTAACGAAAGTAATTGACATATATCCCTAGCCATTACTAACACTGCACATGACATGCACACTTGGTATAACTGTATATGTATTTTATGCATTTTCACAAGATGGCTTGCCCATGAGCATGGTGGATTTTACATATCTTCGCAGCATCATGTCCTCTGCACTCTACCACCACACGCCTTTCACTCTTGCTCTATTAAATAAAGTAACTCGAGAGTAAAATTTTTGACCAAATGAGTTAGTACTTTTCATTAAACTAAAACAATAAGCAAAAATGATTTCTAAGAATAAGAAAAACAGCAGAAAATGACACTGACATTATAGACTGTTACTGTGAGCTTTATCAAGCGGTAGTCCTTGCCCCTGCTGCACTCCCTTTAACAGGGTAGCTCTTTGACCATTATAGGAAAAGAAAGAAAGAAAAAAAGAAATTATGGATAAGTAAATTTTAAAATGGCACAGTGTTTTCTTTCTTGATACAACATACCTGTTTATACATGAAACAGGCCGAGGCAGAGAAATGAATATAATTCAGTGGGGACATGACTTAAAATATAAATTTTTAAACAAAACACTAACACAAGAGTGTTAATGTTATAATTCTTGTTCATACAATACAATTGTTTCCTATGGAGTTTCATACTTCGAAAATGCCAAAATGACAAATTTGTCATTTCTTAATTCTTTGGCACCTTGATTAGCAAACATAACAATTACCATCCATGTTGAGAGGTTGCATTCAGGTTCTACTGACCAATTCTAAGATATTTCAATGTTATAGGTTTGGTCCTAGGACATCCTAGTCCACTCCATTGTAGGAACCGAACAATCAGATTGCTCTTTGTTAGGAAAATCCAATGGATTTTTTTTACTATCTTAATTAAAAATTTATTGTTAGAATTCTTACTTATACTTGTTCTATAGAATCCAATGAAACAAAAGGCATTGCGTGCATGAAAAACACAAAGAAGTGGTTTAAGCAAAAGACTTTTGAGATTAGAGATCATGTTGGATAAGATTGAATAGATCTTGAAGATGTATAAATAAAATTTAAATAAATACCATGAAGAATAGTGAGTTTATACACTTACATTACGCAGAGTTATTACACAATACCTCAAAGTATGGATAATGAAAGTTTTTATAGAACAACAAACGTATATATTACAACCTCAAATGTCAATTAACAGTTTATAATCACCAAGTAAATTCTAAAGATTGATAAATAGATCAAGTATTGGAAAAGGTTTCATCTACGTTTTAAACTTCAAAAATTATAAAATAAAATATTAAAAAAATGTTTCTTGTTTGAAAAAAAGAAAAAAAAAAGTATGTAATTAGGGCATTGATTAGTTTAATTGTTGTTAGACTGGACATTTATTTCTATAGGATAGCTACACCTGTAAAGGGTCTGTTAGATGCATTTGCTGTCATATTTCTGAATAACAAAGAATACATTGCATATTATAAAGAAATACAGGGCATTGCTCCAGCATACTCTGTCTTCTTCAAAGCTCTTGATTGTAGTACCCCAAAAAACACTCACTCCAAAAAGTCCAATGGGGGCGCAACTGCCCTCCAGGGCCCCATGTTGCTCCTCGAATGGAACCTATGCTCGCACACAAGCAAGCACATGATGATAGTGCACTTAACTAACTGTTTATAGAGTATACTGATAGACAACACCAGTGAATATTTACATCCACCACCAGTATTCTTAGATTCTTACTCAAGTTATCCAAATAACAAGAATATACATGACTGAAAAGAGTTGTAAATAGGAAAATACAAAAATTTAACCTTGCGGTAAGATCAAATAGTTTCTATTTACAAATAATATATAGCCATCTATACAATTGTTTCTTGCTCTATCTTTTCTTCTAGTTTCAGGTCGATTCAATTTGAAAGTTATTTGAATCCACTACATTTCTAGAGAAAAGACATCTAAGTAGGATTCGAACCCAGATGAAGTTCTGAACATCTATGAGAGAAAAAAATAACTAATGGATCTTATAGGATTCCCAAGAAATTCTTCGATTTCTTCTGGATGACTGCTTTATCATGACTAATTGAGAACACATGTCCACGTATATCATGAAGAATACTAATGTATTAAACAAGATCTTCTATATAAGCATTAGATGAGGTGGTTTAACACTATATCAAGCAAACAAAGATCTTCGATTCATGTTTGGCCACAACCCAATTATGAAAATTGTGTACGTGTAAGACTTTTAAAAAATAAATAAATAGATAAATTCAACTTCCACATAAAAGGATGTGTTGACAACATAACTTAAATACAAAATTGAAGCCTCTACATTTATAAAGAAAAAGGCTGGTTTACCACTACTAATTGTGAGGTTACATGTCCACATATCATGAAGAACAATAATTTACGCTTTTCTATAAGCTTAGATGAGGTGGTTTATCATGTTATCAAGGCAAACAAAGATCTCCAATCACGTTTGGCCACAACACAATGATGAAAATTGTGTGCATGTATGACTTTTGATTAAAAAATAAATACAATCCAACCTCCATTACCTCTTTTTCTCCTTCCTCTGCATAATAATAATAATAATAATAATAATAATAATAATAATAATAATAATAATAATAATAATAAATAAATAAATAAATAAATAAATAAGTAAGTAAGTAAGTAGTAATAATAATAATAATAAATAGTACACAGAAGCATCCCAATATACGAAAAATTGCACATAGGAAAAAACACAACAAAGATCACTTTTCAGAAATTATGAATAAGTAACCTATAAAAATTAACTTCACCCATTTGGGATTCTTGAAATCTTTTCGGAGAAATACCAAAATACAGTGTATAGAAGGCTGGAAAGTAAAGGCGGTTTAACAGTTAAGTAACCATTGCTAATTCTTGAATTCCACACCAAAGTCGCATGCGGATGATCCACGAATAGATAACTTTACGACGATTTTTAGTTCAAATTTTGTAAAACTGGAGCAACTTACCACGCACATGATTTTTCTTTTCTTTTTGGGAGATTGCAGTACGGGTCTCTGTCCTATGGTCTAGGTATCGAGTTCACCATTCTATTAAAATGAACAAATCCATGGGCGGACCGAATGGGGCCGTGGGGGTCATGTGACCCCCAACTTTTGAGATTTGAATATTTTTTATTTTTTTATTTATTTTGTAAATAAGTTCTGTTTCATATTAATTGAAATCTAAGTTTTAATATAAATTAAAGTTAACAATTAATTTTAATAAAATATTTCATGGAATCCTTAACTTTTTAACTTTTATCAAAATATACTAAAAATCTAATTTAACGTCCACCAAACAAGGACAAAATCACAATAAATTTGAATTTTTTCTCTTTTCTCTTGCTCTATCTCACGCTCACCCTCACCCTCAAACCTTTTACCAAAACTTTAATCTTTCTAATTTTTTATAATTTGTCTATAAATTATTATACCTACTGCAAATTTCACCTTCCAATTAAATTTTCAAATAATTATAACTTAAATTGCATTTTCTTTTATCCTATTTGTGTACATAGAATGTGATTGAATTGATTATATCCAATTTAACTTATATTTAAAGAATTATTTTTATTTGATTGAATATTGGTTATATGTTTTTTTTTTCTTTTGATCACTTGAATTGATTGTTTGTATTAAATACGCTATAAATTTTTTAAATATAAATACTTATTTTCTTATGATAAGCAAAATATTAATAAAATGATCAAACAGATGAAAATGATGAGCAAAATATTAATAAAGAAATATTTTTTAACTATAAATATGCATTTTCTCGATCAATTATAAATCAATAAAAAAATCAAGAATAAAGTATTTGATTTGTATATATTTTGATTGTGTCCCCTAGCTAAGAATCTTTGCGTCCGTTCCTGTGACCAACCTTACCTCATAATCTAGGATCTTTGTTAATTGAATCGAGCTACAGGCCACTCACATTTGCAAGGGCGTGGGTGAATTTTTTCTTTAAATAATCACCCATCTCCTCCTGCTCACCCACCTCGACATGTGTCTGACCTGTACAGCTAAAATTATTCCTGTTAATTTAGCCTCTTTAACAACTTTGAGTCCTGTTTGACAACCATTATAATAATAAATTTGGGTAAAATGTATTTTGAAATAGTAATTTTTGAGAGAATGTATAATTAAAAAAGGAGAAAAATATTTTAATTTACGTGTAATATTATTTTATTGAAAAATAAAAGAAGAGTTGTAACATATATTAAAATTTTAAAGGAAATCAAGCAATGGGCGAAGTGACAGTGGCTAAAAATGTTGGCACGTCAGTTTCACTTCGTTTGAAGCTTCTTCAAAAAGGTTCATCAAAACGACCTCGTTTTGATCCTATCAAATATTGTATAACAAGCATACCTTATATAAAAACTTCTATAAAGATATCAATTTTTCCAAAAATCAGATAAAATATCTCAAATTAAACCACAGCCAGGAACACGAAAATCAAATTTCAAGAAATATAAAAAAATTGAAAAGAGGATCCGTGCTTAACTAAATCACGCCTAATTAGAAAAAAGGGATTTTTTTTATTTTTTTTATTTCAGCCATCACATATGAAATTAACTTTGATTCTGCAACTATTAAATGATTGGTTCCAAGTACAGAATTCTTCAATAAAAAAGAAGGCTAAGATTGGAACAATATAATTCAACTGAACAAGAAAAAGGAAGTATGCTATATGGATTTGAAATCCACACGTGGACCTCGACCAAGAAACAACCACTTATGACTAAAAATTTCACGACTTTCTTCGCATAAATCGATCCCAGTGAGTACACCATCTTGAGAGATCTTCAACTGCACAAGAAAAAGATGGAAGTTTGCACAAAAAAAAAAAATAATAAATAAATAAAATAAAATAAATTTACTTTCACGAGCACAAGTAAATGGAGTTACCGACTAACCACGAGAAATGGTTGTGCCTTCCTGAATGGCATCTCATAATATAGCGCAAACACATTTATTCTGCTTCAGGTCACTTGGCAATTTCTTCTCTGTTTCAAGAAGAAAGAGATGTGTTACTTTTTTTCAAACCGCTACATATTTTGAGAGTAACTCTTTAACTTATTCAAATAAGTAACTTATTTCTAACTAGACCAGAAAACCAAGCTATTTCTTAGCCAAACATGCTTCATATTGGCCACAAGTTAATGTAGTGACACTTTAATCTCATTCTTTGTAAAGGATTATCAACAAGGGAAATCAGACCTTTCTCCATCAATGGTTGTTGGATGACAACATGCATGATCATGACTCCTCCAGGAATATCACATAATGGACTCCTACAATCCGCCACAGTTCTATTATTCTCCAATATTCTTCCTGCGCTAATTAACTTGACGTCTTTTACTGTCTGTGGACCATTTTCTTTCTCTGTTCAAAAGACGTATAGTAGGATGAGCAGCGTAAAAAACTAATAAATATAGTAACAGAAGAAACAGTAACAACTATATCATATTTCTCAAGGCAGAGGTGACCCTTAAGAATGCAGTAAGGCAAGCATTAGAGTTCGTATTAGGAGCAAACTAACTTAGCCAAAGCTCTCTGTCCAATTTGCTTGTTTTACTCCTTCGTCTTTATTTTTTGTTTGGGGTGGGGGGAGGGAGGGGTGCATATGCAGTCACATACTTCAATCCTATCAGTACCACGATAAGTCATTCATTGTACATTTCGTTTTCTCAATTATATAAAGAGCGGTGAACTTGACATAGGACTTGAGAAGAATTATCCAAAACTTCTATGTGGAAATGTTGTGAAGAAGCTTACAAGATGATGACATCCGTGAAAATGGCACATAAGTGAATCAGAACTTAAATCAATTATTTTCTACACAGTTAAATTGAAGATATTACCTTAAAAAGAAAACGAAGGAGGAAAAAAAAAACTTCCATTTCTTTGTGCAAATAGCTTACCCAGAAAGAGGGATTGAGGATAAGTCTCCGGTTGGCACCCGTTTTTCTAATATTCATTTTTTCTCAAACTCATTTTCAATCACATATTTCATGGGATCTACAATTTTTATTAATTTTCATCCCCACATTTCATCCATGTTTGTCAAAAGCTATTAAAATAGGATTTTAACTAAACATACAGAGGCCAAGTGTGTGGAGACTCGTAATTGTAAAGTACACTAGGTTAGATCATAGGAAGCATGGAGTTTGGGAAGATAGAATTCTGAACTAATAAAAAGGGCTGTCTTATTCTTCTTCTAAGCAAAGCTGTAGAGAACTTTTGGGACAGGGCAGTTGCTGACTTGAATCTTTGATTCTATGACCTGATCGACTTTCAACAATTTAAATCCATAAATCTACAATACCAATAAACACAAGTCAATCCAAGATTCTAGTTTCTTCATCATTTATCGTTAGGAACCTGATAATAAGCGGTGTGGTTTTACTGAGGGCTCTTAGTTTTGCAGGGGTTCAATATGTACAGTAAAGATCAAATGCTATTCCTGTATGTATAGCTAAGAACATTTATTGCCTCAATTGTATAGAAATGGCCCATCTCTTTCAGCCTTTAAGTGGCTAGATGAACACAGATTTTGGAACAACCCAACCTACACCAGTAGGGATTGGCATAGTGTGCACTTATTTTTGTCATAACTTTTATCATAGTCACTATTCAACCGCATCATCTAAAAGTTTAAGGTATCACATTAGAGGAATTAATTTATTTAATTTATGTCCTTAATGCGTGCCCTCACGTGCATGCCAGATTCATTTTCCTGTGCACTCTAATATCATGTTCAACCTCATCTAAAAGTTTATTGCAAAATCGACAAATTAATTTAAATTATGTGATCAACAATCACAAATTACAATCTATTTATTCGGGATTCCTAACAAATTCAAAAGCTACAATCTTCATAACCATAAGATTGGTTCGCCTTCCCGGAAAACAATATACATGTGCAAACATAGTGAAACATATGCAGTCGACTAACCTTTAGGCCATTGAGCTATAATGTTCTCCTTCAAAGTTGCAACACTCATAGCCACTGGGAAGTTCTTTGGGCCAATATCGGATCCATCAGTCAACCTAAACTTGATCTCAAGCTGATCTTGTGCTCCAGACATCTTCAGATTATTACAAAATTAAAATTAAAATTACAAAACCCTCCCCAAGATCCTCACTTGGCTCTTCCACAATCTCCAATAGAGTAATCTTTTATGCAAAATCAAGAATCCATTCACAAAATTCTTGAATATATAGATTCAAAGCTAATTCAATCTGGAATCATGTTACACAAGGAGGAAACTATATATCAGTATAAAGAAAACAGAAACAAATTTAGAGAAGCGAAAATCTTTCAATTAACACTAATTTCTCCATCCCAATCCAGCAAGAGAAGGAAAATCCTCAAGATGGACATAAAAGTGTCACTTCCAAATCAATCTAAAAGTCAAACAGAACAACTGAACAAGAAATTATTAAATCTTGATAAATTTCAATAAAAACCCAAAAATCTAACAAAAAAAATTGGACAAAAATCTTACCAGAATAGACTAACTCGATCTGGGTACTCTTTCTTGTTTTCCTCTTCCAAGATTTTCTATTTTTCAGAGGAAAAAGAACCCAAAGTTAAAAAGAAAAAGAAGAGGAAGGAGAAGCCCATGCCAGAAAAATAAAAAATAAAAGAATAAATAGAAATGGTAAATTATTAATTTCAATAAACTTACTTATAAGTGAAAATCGGATGAGGTAAATGTAAGATACGAGGCTGTTACGGAGATTTCAATGTTATGATTGGAAGAAATCCTCCTAATTCGATGGAACATTTGACATCTTTTTATAGAACAGTCAAATCCTTCAAATTTTCTTGCTAAAAATTGGATCGATCTCCAACTTTAACAGGCAGAACAGTAGTTAAATTAGTTAGTAGGACGGCAGGCTATCCTTTCTAGTAATAATTTTCACCTTTTCTAAAAAATTTGAATTATGGATGCCTTCAAAACCAACATAAGGAAGTCAAAATGTATGTGCTTGGTAGCTCAAGCGTTAGTTCTGAACAATTTAAAGGAGTTACAATAAATAAATGTATGTCCGATAATGATTATGAGAATAAAGAAATCAAAGTGACGGTGATGAAATAAAAGCAAAAAAATTGATTTTTTGGGATGAAAAATTACTATCAAACACGAACTAAATATTTTCTCACTACATTCATTTCTGAATTGTTATTTAGAACCACACAAATTGTTATTTATAAAAAGTAAGAATCCGTAAGAAAAAAAAAGTCCAAGAACCTATCTTATTTTTAATTACAACCTGTTTGACTCATATTCTCTCAAAACAAATACATTTTTAAACAGTGATTTGATATTATTTCAACCATACATTCTTTCAAGGGCAAATTCAGGATATTGAGCCAGCACGAGAGGCCGTTGACTGTTGATCGTGGACCGTCGACTGTAATAAAATATTAAGAGCTCGTTAGATGTCATTTTTTTCAAAAAATGCATTTTGAAATAGTTATTTGATAGAGAATGTGTAGTCAAAAATAAGAAAAAAATTAAATTTGCGTGTAATATTTTTTTATTAAAGAATATTTGATCGAAAAGAAGGGAAATAAAAATGTATTCTGAGCTAGATGGGAATCAAACTTTAAATAAAATAATTATTTTGTTGAAATTGAACATATATAATTTCGTTATAAGAATAAATCGTACACATCAAATAACATTATTGCTTTGTATAATTCAAAGAAAGAGCACGGTGTTAGAAATTTTACAATTGAACCGCCAAAATCTAACATATATTATTTTTTTAAGTTTAATATCAAAACTTATCAAATATCATAATGGTCAAGCTGTTAACATGTTCTTGAAAAGCTCACAAGTTCGATTCCCCACTGGTCCTTACCTTATTTCAATGGTTTTTTTGTAAAAATTGTATAACTAAACCGTATATTGGTGGAAAAAAGTTTCGAACCCGGGACGCCTAGGAAACAAATACAAGCGATAGCTAACTTGGCTTGAAGGAGTGATTGAAATAAAAATGAAATACCAGTAATATATCCTAAAGATTTGTCTATTCTCAGCCAAAAAAGGGGCTCACAGCGGATCCAGCACGCGCGGCCGCAGGGGCTCGCCAGGTGCTGGATCCGCCAGTGCATTAAAGATAATATTACACGCAAATCCAATTTTAGCAACCAAATTTTCCATATGTTTTTTTTTTTTTTTTTTTTTTGGAACCCCACAATTTGAGAATCATGTTTTGTACCAAATTCTCAAATTCCAACGTTTTTCAGAGAGGGAAGTTCTTTGAGACTGTGGCTGAGCATTGGATTTAACTTCGTCCAATACTGCACTTACAAAGATTTTCCTCATTGACAAAATGCTCACTTATTGGTAAACCCACTTTTAATGAACAAACATACATCGAATTACCACTAATGTTCACATCAATCAAGTTCATTATTCAATTCAACATTTTGGTTCCACTTCACATCACATAGAAAATTGCTTATAGGATTTTAAGCTAGAAATATAATTGAACTTAGCTTCGTTCATTGAATCACGTTTATACATTTATACCGTGGGGATAATGACACCTTCTAATCTAGAGACAGTTTTAAAATAATTTTTTTTACAACTTCTCAATTAAATACACTATAGTTTTTATTTTATCCTAAATTTAAAAATTATATGGACTTTCATTTTAAATTTTTTTATATATTTTTATAGAATTCAAAAGACTTTGAAAACTTTTATTTGAAATAAAATTTACGTGAATCTACTAATGGTGTGAAATTTTCACATACTAGGTGTTGGTTCCCACAATTTCTCATTTTCTTTCCCTTCTTCTTCCCATATTATAAAAAAATTAAATTAAAAGAATAAAAATTTTAGACCTTCATTAAATAAATAATAATCAAAATTATAAGATATATATATATATATATATATATATGATAACACAATAAATTTAATATTCAATATTAATTAATATACTTTTAAAAATTTATAAAAATCATTATATTTAAATTTAATTATAAAAATTTCATATAAACTTTAATAATTTAATAAAAAATTGGGATTTTTCACAAAAAAATAAATGAAAAAAAAAAGAAAAAGTTACAAAAATCCAATTTAATTTTTTTATAGAAAATAAAAATGAACAATAAGAGGGAGAAAAAATAAATAAAAATAAATATAATCTATAGAAAAAAAAAAATTTTAATCTTCGTAAAAGGAAAAGGGAAAGAAAGAAAGAAAGAATATATATATATAAGGAAAGTTTATTAGGGTTTAAAGGTGAATGACAATTACACCCCTACAACCCTAGAAATAATTACTATTGTATCCCTAATTCTACCCTATAAATATAGGGTTTTGGTTCTTCATAAAATAACACAAGTCTATTGACTTCTCTATACTCTCTTTGCTTTTCTTCACTTTTATAACACGTTATCGGCACGATGGTTTGATTTTTCAAAATCTAGTGAATGTAACAATTTTGTTACGCAGAAATTTTTCCATCACATGTATCAAAATTAATTTAATAAAATGTGATTTTTTATTTTCACGCACCCAACTCATTGTATTTCTTTGCCACAGTTCACGATCTTTTTTTTTTTTTTTTTTTTTATTTGTGGCCGTCAATTTTATTCTGCACTTTTAATTGATGTTTAAAATTATGTGTAATCATTGCACAATTCACAATTTGATCATTTGTCTACTAGCTACAGGCCTTTGATCATTCTGTTAAGTTTATTTTAATAAGAATGATTAGTGGAATTTTGATTAAACTCGTTTGTGATTTACTGAGAGAGGTTTCACATTTCAATTTGATAATTTGCCTACTTGCTACATGCCGCCAGAGGTTTCACGTTTTGTCTTCACTGGGATTATATATGACGCCCACTTCTTTGTAATTTATATTTTATTCATTGGTTGTTGCCACCCTCAAATCACATGCAATTAATCACTGTAATGCAATTAGTGTAAATTATTCAAAGTTGGTCCATAAAAGTGTTATTTTTATTTGATAGTTAAGCATATGCATCTTAATTTTTTTGCTTATTATTTATCGTTTGATTAATTATCTCGTTCTTATCCTTTTAATACGATTATAGTTTATGAATTTAATTTTTGTAGATCTATTTATTATAAATAGTTTGTCATTCCTCCTGAAATAGTACAACATTATAATTAATATTTTTAAAGAATATTATAATATTTTTGAATAATATTATTTGCTCCTGAAGAGCATAAATTATATTTTTCAATATTTCAGAAGAATATTGACGTATTGATCATGAAGAAATAATAATAAAATATAATGTGCTTTTGAAGTAGCACATGTCTTGAAGAATATATATCTGGTTGTTTTTTAGAAGAAATATAAATTAAATTACTCGATACTGAGTTATAATTTTTAAAGGAAAATAACTTTTTATTTTATTAATATTCAAAAAGAATATTAATTTGTCGCTCCAGAAGAGCATACAACTCGATATTTTAATATTCTCAAAGAATATCATATTAGCGATTCTGGAAATTATAAATCTTAAAATGCTAATAAAATTTAAGATGGATCATCAAGATATCTGTTTAGTAGATAGTGCAATTATGCACACAATTCTTCAAGATAAATTATTCTTTAAAAGTTAACATTAGCAGAATATAACGTTAATACGATATCGGGTGCATCAAATATCGTTGAAGGCTCCGAAAGAGTTTGTATTATTTTATCAAATAATATAAAATTATATATTGACGATACATTTTATTCCAACAAATTCAAAAGAAATTTGTTTAGCTTTAAAGATATCCATTGCAATGGATATCATACTGAGACAATACAAGAAAAGAATGTCGAATATATTTGCATAACTTCTTTTATATTTGGTCAGAAACAGATAAAAGAAAAATTTCATGCACTCCTATTTGGTATGTATTATACATTTATAAAAATGGTTGAATCAAATAATGTCACAAACCAGACATTCGTTAACCAAAAAAGTTTTATATTTTGGCATAATCGATTTAGACATCCAAGAGCTATAATGATCCATCGAATAATAAATAATTCACACGGACATCCTTTAAAGAACCAAAAGATTATTTTACCTAATGATTATCCATGTGTAACTTGTTTGTAAGACAAGTTAGTCATTAGACTTTCAACTACAAAGGTCAATATTGAATCTTCAACTTTCTTGAAAAAAATTCATGGAGATATATGTGGGCCAATACATGTAGATCATTTCATTATTTTATGGTATTAATTGATTCTTATACTAGATGGTCACATGTTTGCTTACTTTTCACTAGGAATCTAAGCTAGACTACTTGCTCAAATTATAAAATTATGAGTGCAATTTTTCGATTACTCAATTAAAACCATTCGCCTTGACAATGCTGGTGAATTTAGATCGCAAGCATTCGATGATTATTGTATGTCAATTGGGATTGTAATTGAACATTCAGTTCGCATGTCCATACACAAATGGTTTGACAGAATCGTTTATTATACGTTTGCAACTTATTGCTAGGGTGAAAATAAAACTCCCAACTTCTATTTAGGGTCATATCATATTACATGCTACATCACTGGTTCGTATTAGAATAACTGCTTATTCTTAATATTCACCTTTGCAACTGGCATTTGATCACAAACCTGATATTTCTCACCTACAAATTTTTGGTTGCGTAGTCCAAGTTCCTATTTCAATCCCACAACGTACTAAAATGAGTCCCCAATGAAAATTTTGTGGATTTATGTGAGTTTTGATTCATCATCAATTATTAGATGTATTGAGCCTTTAGCGGGTGATTTATTTATAGCATGTTTTGTAGATTGTCATTTTGATGAAATGACTTTTCCAACTTTGGGAGAGGAAAAACTACATCCTAAAAACAAGGTA